CCCGCTCCCATCAGCTCAAAGCGAAGCCGGTGCCTTTCCGTGGAGACTACAAGTCCCGTCATGCAATGCGGCCCCGCCCCTCTCCTCCTTAGACGATCTTGTAACTCGGGCAAAGGAGGGCGCGAGTCGGTTTCCGCAAAATAAATAAAGTGATCGCAACGTCTTGTAGGGATGGTGTAGAAAAGTTCCAGTACAATTGTTAAGTAAACCCTTCTAGCAGAGAGAGGGGGTGAGCTGGTCCTAGGTGTGAGAGAAAGGTCTCCATTTTTTTTACTTCACTATAACCAATTCAGTTTAAAGTTTTTTTTAAAATACAATAAAACTACAGTAGCAGTATACGTCAATAATTAAAAAAAATAAGGCTTCTTATATACAGTATATATAGACACACACACATTATAATTTTACCGACCTCGGAAGGATAGAAGGCTGAGTCAACCTTGAGACGGCTACCTAGGATTGAACCCCAGGTCATGAGCACAGTTTTAGCTGCAGTACAGCGTTTTAACCACACACACACACACACACACACACAGACACACACACACAGAGACACAGACACACAGACACACACGCAAGCATTAGAAGTGTACAGATGTGGTTTTGGACTATCACTCCCAAAATCAGCTACCTGGGGACTTCTGGGAATTGTAATCTAGAAACAAATCTCATCCACGCAATAAATGGGAGATCTCATTGAGATTGATCCCCCTGTGGTGCCATGGATAGACTGCGGAGACAAAGCCTCCTAAAATGCAGGTTCAAATCTCCACTTGGGCATGGAAACTTACTGGTGGGGTGGGGGGGGAAGGAGAGAGAACCACTCCTTGAACATCTCACATACCTCTTAGGGTTGCCATTGGTAAGAAGCATAAGCACACAGAGGGTGTGCATAAAGGTTGTTATGTGCCATCCAGTTACTCCCAACTCATGGCAACCCTATCAGTGAGCGATCTCCAAAATGCCGTACCTTCAACTGCACAGCTCCTGCAAACTCAAACAGGCATATACAGCAAAATAGGAGCCTCTCCAAATTATTTGTCAAGAAAAAGGAAAGTAGCATTGTTCTTGTAGGTTTTTTGGGCTATCTGGCCGTGCTCTTCTGACTCCTGCCCTCTGAAGATGCCGGCCACAGAGACTGGCGAAACGTTAGGGAGAAAAAAAACTCAAGAGCACGGCCAAAGAGCCTGAAAAACCTACAACAGCCATCAGATCCCAGCCGTGAAAGCCTTCGAGAATACCTTGAAAGCAGCATTCTTCACCAATGTCCTGGTGTCACCAATGAATTGCAGTTCTCTCTTAGAGAACTTACATACATAAAGTCTCAGAAGTCATTCATTCCGGTCTTCATGTTATACAGTTTGAATACCATATCATAGACATTTATCATTGTAAAAGAACATATTCCACACTCCATATTTTTTTCAGGAAAAAAACAGCTTTGGGGGAAAGTGGGGGGAAAATTTTCCCCAGTATTTTCTATTCCCCCTCCCCACCCCCTGGCCTTACCATCTCTAACTGCAACAACCCTTAAAAACGAGACAGCATAAGGACAAATGCAATTATATGTTGTGCAGTTATATGTGTTGTGCAGTTATATGCATGTACTCACAAACAGACAAGAGAATCTTAGGTGCCCCAACACAGATTTTCTGTTCAAAGGCCTTACAATGACTGCAAATACAGAACTGGAATGACTTTGCTGGAACAGATTGAATCATCCAGAAGAAGATCATGTGACCCCAAAGTTTCCAGCCATTTCTGTACCTAAATCCCCCTGAGCCTATTTCTTAAAACAAACAGATCTTAGTGATTCACAGCCATTACCAAGGCTAGCTCCAAACTCTGTCTGCCTGGCTACTTGCGCTCTATGTAACCTTTTTTGACAATAGCGCAATGTGCTGTACTTTGTGTTCATATTATATACTGCCAAGGCTATTCTGGAACTTTGGCAGCCATGCTGCATATTTATCAAGCCACAAGAAGAGAGACAGCTTTGGAAACAAAGCAGGGCTTGAACTAGCAGTGGTGATTGAAATCAAGATCTGGAACAAGACTGAAAGACAGTTGCCATCTGCCTGTGTTAATTCAGGCTGCTGTATTTTTGATTAACAGGTATTAGATCAAACAATTTAAAAGACATTTTGATCAATAAAAAGGCACCCTCCGTTATAGACATGAAGTTAATTTTTGACAGTTCTGCAATTTGGGAGCGCCAGAGGTGGGGAGTTTGATTTCCCACTGTGCCTCCTAAAACAGCCAGCCTGTGTAGCCTTGAGCAAGCTGCATGGTTCCAGAGCACCCCTACCCTGAAAAAGGGAATGGGAAACCACTTTTGAGTAGTCTATATGTAGAAAACCCTGAAAAGGGTCACTATAAGTCAGAACTGAGTTGCTGGCACATATTTATTATTATGACTACTTTTTAAAGAAAAAAAAATGGATGCACACATTTTTAAACAGAGCTTGGAGATGCTACCTTTTTTTGGGACTAAATCTTGCAGAATCTTTAGACAGTGACCATGTTGCCTGGGGTATTTAGTGAGCTAGAATCCAAAGAAGTAAACTTTGCAAGCTTTGCTTCCAACAAGTGTCACCTAAGAAGAGTCATGCATGCTGCCCTATTTGGGCATCCAGGAAATACCTTTTTTTTACAGGGCCAGATCAAGGCATGTTTGAAAGCGTATGCTATATAAACCCTAAGACGCCCTGCAGCGTTACCAGAAGAAGGGTAGTATTCTAACAATTACGCCAGAGTTTAAGCTTAGTAATTTTTACACACATTCACAAACATATATATTAAAGCTTGTCCTTCAAATTCCACAGCCTTAAATAGTAGTTCCTTTAGCTAGCATATAAATCTAACACTGCTCTTTTAAGAAACATGAGTGCATTTGTCAGATGTTTTCCTTCTCCTCCGTAACTACAAAAGAGCAG